GAAATGACTGTAATTTCACATAAATGATAAATACCCAAACCTTTAAATATCTATAGCAGAGAAGAATGAGTAGTATATTGATAACTTTTGATCCTTATAGAGATAGCAGATTTTCATTCCCAAAACTTACTGTTCATTTAGTAAAATGAAAGACATCAACTTAGAGGATTCTTGATCAACATAACAACGTGATCTGGCTTTTCCCAGGCATGTATGATTCTCACAAGTTCTGTATTTCCCAATCTGAAATCATGCTACCGAAAGTTTTTCAAGGGTAGTGTATTAGTTTGCTAGAGATACCGCAACAAAATACCACATAACGGTGACCGAAACAACAGAAATCTGTAGTCTCACAGCTCTGAAGGCTGGAGGTCAGAAATCAAGGTGATGGCAGGATGGGTTTCTTCTGGGGACTGTGAGGGAAGGACCTGCACACGGAATCTTCCCATGAGAGCCAGTTAACATACATGTAACCAGCAGATACAATATGTTGTTAGAGGGTTCTCCCCTAAGTTAGTCCACAGGCTGGCGGTTTTATCTGATCAACTCTGTCTAATAAAGATTAATTTTCTTTTGGCTTAAATTCCTGTCTAAGTCAAAGATAGGCTTTTTGTTTCTAATGAGGAAGCACATTTGCAATGAAAATACCATGATTTTCGTGGGCTCCGGTATGCCCTACCAACATTGCGATTTGGTTTTTTGTTGTTGTTGTTTGTTTGTTTTTAGAACGGCGGCATTCCTGTATTTCAGAAGTGAGCTGAAATGCTCTTTCTCTGCCTTCCTATAAATACGCTCGGATTCTGTAGCAGCAAATGTCACGTCTGATGTTCTTTGTAGGGTTTACCCGCATCTCCTTCCTCACTGTACAGTTGATCGCTTAGCTCCAAGGGTCTCCCCTAAAACGGTCACATCTCCAGTGCCAGGGCGTTGGCATTTTGAAGGACCCACCCAACACACATCCCTCCTTAAGGCAGTAGACCTGTTGGTACACTGGTGACCACCTAGAGCATGAATGCAGCAGGCACATACAGTGTGCTATTAGATGAGTCTCCCAATAGTAAATAGCACACAGACTTGGGGTTTCTTTGTAGCACAAACACGACTCCTCCAGGGGGCCCACCCTCCCCCCTTGAGCGTGCATCGTAAGGAGTTAATGATGATCCAAAGGGCACTATGCCTCGTGAGTAAACCCCACATCTCTATAAGTTTGGATTCTTTTGCTTAGGACTTTCAGTTTAAGCAGGTCCTTAAATGTTAAGTCGATACCCAAGTATTTCACTTTCTTTGTGTGGTTGTAAATTATCTTATAGTTTTTAATTTCAACTTCTATGCGTTCATTGTTAGTATATGAAAATATGGTTGATTTTTTTTTTTTTAATTTTGATCTTACGTGCTTGAAACCGTCCTGAATTTGCTTGAGAGGCCAGAAGTGTTTTTGTAGATTCCTTGGCATTTTCTGTGTAGACGGTCATGTCATGCCATCTGAAATTAGGAATAGTTTTATTTCTTCCTCTTTCATTGGTTTGGCTTTTATTTTTCTTGCTTTATTGCAGTGGTTAGGACTTCCAGTACTGTGTTGACTAAGGTGGTGACCGTAGACATCGCTACAAAGCACGATATTAGCAAGTCCTTTTTGTAGATTATGTTTATGAAATTGAAAAAGGTCCCCTCTATTTCTAGTTTGCTGGGTTTTTAGCGTGAGTCGATGTTGTATTCTTTTCAGATGCTTTTCTCTGAGTCCATTGATACCCTACAAATTCTTCTTTGTTAACCTGTTGATACGGTGGATCACATTGGCTTTCAAATATTGAACCCGCCTTACAGCCCCGGCATAATTCCCACTTGATGTCAGATGTTTTTGATTTGCCGAAGTTTCCGTTCCCATTGAGTTCATGTGAGGTTTTATCCTGTGAGGCGGCCTCTTTCACCCCCGGGAACGTGCTCGTTTGACCGGCAGGTTAGAAAAGGGCAGAGAACTGTGGTGTTCGATTGTCACGTGCGGAGTCTCTCCGCTGGTCTTTCTGTTACTGATTTCTAGTTTGATTCCACAACAGACAGAAAACATGCGCTGTGATTTTTTACTTGCTTTAGACTTAAATGGCTCTTTATTCTCCAACTTCCTGGTGAAAACTCAGGTTACTGGCTTTAGAGCTTTTTTTTTTTTTTTCCTAATAAGTGTGTTTAGTGTTAGAAATTTCCCGTTAGTACTGCCTTTGCTGGGAAAAGGACCCTCAAACTCTATTATTCAGATTCTTAAATTCTCTCTACAACCAATCTCTGTGACTACATTTGTAAGGTAAATTCTTTAAAATTCTGTGTTTTAGGCTCTCTGATATATGTGTGTGTGTGTGTGTGTGTGTGTGTGTTGTAACTAAATTGGTGAGGTTTTCTGTTACATGATTTAAAAAAAATTTTTTTTATTGATTTCAGAAAGGGAGGGCGAGGGAGAGATAGAAACATCAGTGAGGAGAGAGAATCATTGATCAGCTGCCTCCTACTCGCCCCTTCCTGGGGATTGAGCCCACAACCCAGGCTTGTGCCCAGACCAGGAATTCAACCCTGGTTCATAGGTCGATGCTCCACCACTGAGCCACGCCAGCCGGGCTTGGCTTCAGGATTTTTATAACACATTTGAAATTCCGTCCTCCCACGTTGGTTCTAGTAAGCAGACTTCAGACCGTAGCATGAAGAACGCTTGCTTTTCATTTGCTGCTAACGGGGGGATGTGATGTCATCTGAACGCTGCTAATAGAAGGAGCACAGACATGCCCCACCTGATGCCGGGGCTCAGTGTTAAAAGGAAATGGACATTTCTGCTGCAGGCTGTGCAGACCATGCCTAATCCTTTATTTTTAACAAAGAAAGACACCGTCTATAACGGAAAGAATCCGCACTTTCATCTCAAATTCACCGCGTCCCTCTCTCCCTTCTTTCCGCCTCCAGGAGGACCACTGTTAGTTTTGTGGCTTACTGCTGCTCCACCCAGTGTCTGCAGACTTTTGACCTACTCAGTTGATAAACACTCAAGAGCCTCAGGAGGGTTGCCAGCCCGACAGCACAGCTGCCTGCGTGTCACACGCTGTCTGAGCGGCGGAGGGACAGGGGCGCCCAGCCAGGCCACACAGGCCCTCACAACCTGGCACGTCCGGTGCGGGGGGGACCGCAGAACTCTCTGGAAGTGTCGTGATCGAGCTTCGGAGCTGAAAGGCCTTCGCCCTTCCCCCATGTTGGAATATATCCTGCCCCCAAATTAAGGACCCTTTGTCTCGTGTGTTTTTCTTGGTATGCAAGTGTCTCAGACGAAAACGGTTGGGTTTGATGTGCTTCCCCAAATCTAATTGAAAGCAACCTTCAGCTCCCTGAAGAGCTGTGATTTGATAATATTGTCAAGTGAACTTTTGAACACATTCTAACTCAATGATCCTCTTAATGTTCTCTTTCTTTCCCCCAGGGAGTAATTTCCCCCCAGAGGTTATTCTCCGTGTTCGTAACAAATTTCAGGAAACTCCACCGCCTCAGTGGTATGAATAGTGAGGGGTGTGGGGGGACCCTGAGTTGGCAGAGAAGTTAGACCCAGTGGAGATTCTGCAAGGTGCCCGTATGCACCCTTTGCAAAGTTATAACCTAGTTTATAAGTTCTGCAACATGTTAAGGGACTTTTCTGAGGGATTTTAAAAATAAAAATGTAGACTATAAATAAAAATACACATTATTTTGAAAGACTATTTACAGGAAAATAATCATTGAAATGGCTGCTTTCCTGTAAGATTTTTTTTAAATATATTTTTTATTGATTTCAGAGGGAGAGGGAGAGAAACAGCAATGATGAGAGAGAGGCATCAATTGGCCACCTCCTGCCTGCCTCCTACTGGGGATGGAGCCCTCAATCCGGGCATGTGTCCTGACCGGGAATCGAACCGTGACCTGGTTCATAGGTTAACGCTCAACCATTGAGCCACACCAGTCAGGCATATATCTTTAAATATTTTAACTATATAGTGTTTTCTCTAAGTTTGGATGGAAAGGGGGGGACCAAGAAGGTTTCCTTGGTAGGACAAGTATTTTCAAAAAAATGTCAGACTTGTCTAAAATTCCGTTTCTGGAACTTTGTTCGCTGCCCTAAATCTGTCTGGCTCGGCGCTAACAGTGCTAAAAATCCTACCTAGTTACTGACAACCGTGTGATCTTTTCACAGTCACACCCCCCGCTGCCCGGAAAGCAGCCTCTCCACGCAGAACGCTGAAGGCAGAGCGTTACGTATGTCCCAGCTGCGTTTCCACTGTTCTCACCTCCCCTTGTCCCTTTCATGACTTGGCCTGTTCCTCCTTCAAAGGCGTAGAGTATAATAGATCCTGAAGGGTGACATCAAAACATAGCACTTCTTTCATCCTGCAGAATAATTGACGTGTTAGCGGGACCTCTCCGTGCCTATAGGGTGGCAGGTGAAAAATGTGGCGTGAACCCTCACAGGTGTGATTCCGCCCTACGTGGTGCTGCCTGTCGCTTACATGACAGTTCCTGTATCGCAGCATCTTTCTCTTTCACCCTCCTGCAGTCATGTCTTAAAATGCCATGTGCTAACCTGATACTCAGGATGCTCACTGGGATGAGGATATGTGGTACTTTCTTTTTTTTTTTTTAAATGTAATTTTATTAATTTCAGAGAGGAAGGGAGAGAGAAAGAGAAACATCCATGATGAGAAAGAATCGCCGATCAGCTGCCTCCTGCACGCCCCACACTGGGGATGGAGCCCACAACCTGGGCATGTGCCCTGATCGGGAATCGAACTGTGACCTCCTAGTTCATAGGTCGACAATCACTGAGCCACTCAGGCCGGGCAATACTTTCAGCTTGTTTGAAAGTTTACAAAGACAGAATCCAAGTGTCCTCTCTGTACCTATTATAAACCACTAGAGGCCCGATGCACGAAATTCATGCAAGGGGCTCGGCCCTTGCAGCCCCAGCTTCGTCTGGAAGGTTGTCCAGAAGGACATCCGGAAGGTCGTTCGGCTGTCTGGTCTAATTAGCATATTACGCTTTTATTATTATGGATGTGCATTGAGTACCAGCAGTGGGCAACCTTTGGGCAGACTCAACCTCGACCCTGGTGCAGCACCCAGCTTGATTGATGGAAATGCAATTTATCATTTGGCTTCCCTGGTGCTGTTTATTATTTTAAAAAAAAAGTTATACTAGATTCACTGATGTCATTCTTAAACTTTTGATATTATGTGAGAGCATTGGAGACTGGAGAAAGTTTGCCTACATGCTATATATTTTTGAGTTGTGTGCAGTACTTTGCAGAAAATTCTAAAGTTGTTATATCATGTCTTCTTGATTAACAGTTATGCTACGTAGAGAAATATTTCGTGCAGTCATAATAGTGCAAAAAAAAAAAGCGAGTCACTTGGGAAATAGTCTCTTCAGGTAAGTTTATATCAATAATCTGATGTGGTTCGTGGTAAATTTATAATCCAGAATCCCCTGTTTGGCAGGCGCCTTCTTATAACAGAGTGTGAAAGACAATCCATTTGAACTGGGTTGCCCTGTCCGTGCCCTTCAAGATGCCTGCTTGTTATACCAAATTCCCAGATTACAGAACAGGGTGTGGATGAAATGTTGCCTCTTCCATGAATAAAAAAATATATTTTGAGCGCACTGAACAATTTTTTTAAAAATGATCAATAAGCAAGAGAGCTCTATCCATAAGAGGATCCGCTCTGCTTAACAGAGAAAAGCGATAAACTCCATCACCTGGCCCTCCTCTTCCATGAAGCGAGGCACACTATCAGCATTTTTTGGTCGACATGCTCAACACTCACCACACAGCTTTCACACTCTGGCGTGTCCGCCTAGTCGAGCATACATCTCGCTTTTCTTCCACATTTTGCATTATGAATTAAAATGTCTACGTCTAAGGATAAAGGCTTCCATGCCAATGGGCTTCTGAGGCTTCGAATGTCGTGTTCCCTAAAATATATATATTTTTAATGTATACATATGTGTATATATATATATATATATATATAATGTGTATATATATGTATATATATGTATTTTGGAATCACTGGGGACTCTCAAAGGTGGTTTTCAAAAGTATTAATAGTAAGATTAGGTTTCTGTGTCCTGGGTTTAAAAAATCAGGCATTTTTATCTGTACTATGAAAATATCATAGTCGCTTCAGAAATCAAAATATTTGTATTCAGATGATTTATGGACATGGATCACTAATGGGGTCAACAGTAATACAACCTGATGTAATGAAATGTTAAGATATAAATTTATTCCACAGACTTGTAAACGCACTCTCTTTAGGAACCTTATTTTAAAATGTATTCTTACATCACTGGATATATATATTATTGATTTCAGGGAGAGGGGGAGAGAGAGAAAAACATTCTACTGGCAACCCAGGCATGTGTCCTGACCAGGAATCGAGCCATTACCTCCTGGTTCATGGGTTGATGCTCAACCATTGAGCCACACTAGCAATTTGGAGACTATAATAATTCAAGACTAATTAATTAATTTCTCCTTTTTTTGTATACTGAAAGGATTTTTCTAAAACTCAGAGTCTACATACTGAACAACGATGGCAACATTTATTTGAAGTGTGGACGTTTTTTAAAGCTCATACTGTATCCAATTTGGTTGTCTATAGCTGCTGCTGTTTATAGCACGGTTGAGCTTGAACCATGTGAATGCTTAGAAATGTCGATGGTGGTAGCTTTATTCTTTTAACCAGATGCATTTGATTAAGAAAAATAAAAGGATGTTAAATAGTTAAAGCCAGAAAAGAAAAAAAAATGGTGAAGTGAAGACATTAAAAATGCTCCCTTTCACACCGCAAGGAGAAAATTGGCAAAAATTGGCAGAACCAACTTTTTTCAGAACGGTGGAAATTAACCAGAGGCCCGCGGCAATCCAAGGGCTACTTGAGAAATTGCTGAATCTCAGAACAGTAAGCTTGGTGGTATTTCAACTTGCCCTGTTTCCATTCCCTCCCACCCCTTTTCCAGCTCTGTTGCACCCTGCAAACAACAGCCCACAATCGAGGTAGAAGCCACAGTGGAGAAGCCACTGGAGGGGTGAATGGGGTTGGAGCTTTTTCAAATTCTGCTTCCCAGAGAATCATCATTATTTGACTTGTCTGGTGGCACCCTGGAAGACCTCATTTGCAAGTCTGTCTTTATTTTGCCTGATCAGAGTTTGTCAGATGTGAAAAGCTTTTTTCACAGGGACATCTATTGAAGAAGGAAAAAATCAGAGGCAGTTGTGGCTGCCCAAAGCAGTGAATGAACATCGGAGCAAACAATAGGCTAACCAAAAACTTGAAAGGAAATGCTGAGGAATGAGATATTTGTAGGGGCTTGGTACAGCTCTGACATCCCTGGGATTTGCATGTGCAGGCATATGCATAGGGCTTGTCACAAGCCAAGGGTGGCATGTCTGATGAGGAAAGGCCTCTGAGCATCATAATTTCTCACCTGACATTGACCTTGAGGATTTGCACAAGCAGAGAGTAGAGCATAAGGCAGAGCAGCCAACTTCCTGGCCGAGTGTTGAAGGGTGTTCCAACAGGCACACAAACCCCCCACGAAGACTGGGGGAGTTACTGGATTCAGGTGATTAAGGAAATCCCTATCCAATTATTCATTCACCACAGAACTATCTGAGCAAGACATCGGTGTCTGTATATCACAGAGAATGCAGGCTTTCCAGAATGACTTCAGATGAGTCACTCAACAGACAAAAACCAGCAACTACATCAAACCCTTGGCTAAAGGGGGAAGTCAATCTAATTTTCAGAGTTACCCCTTATTATTTGAAATACCCAGTTTTCCTAAAAAAGTTACAGACATACAAGGGAACAAGAAAATATGCCCCATATTCAGGGAAAAAAGCTGTCAATCACCTGTACGTAAAGGAAGTCCAGAAATTGGACTTTGTAGACAACGACTTTAAATCAGCTATTTTTAGATATGTTCGGAGAATTAAGTATCCAAATGATGCCTCACTATCATTTATTAGTTAAAAGATAGAAGTTATTTTAAAATACAGAAACTCCATAGTTGAAATACAATAACTGAAATCAAAATTCCTGAGAGGTGCCCAGCCTCAGATTTGAGCCAGCAGAAGAAAGAATTTGCAAACTGGAATGTGGGTCAATTGACATTCTTTCATTGGAGGAACAGAAAGGAAAATGAATAGAGCCTTAGACCTACGGGACACCATCAAGTGTACCAACATACGCATAATGGGAGCCCCATACGAGCAGTAGAGAAAGAGGCAGAAAGAATATTTTTAAAAATAATGGCCAGCCCTAGCTGGTGTTGCTCAGTGGTTAGAGTGTCAGCCCCCCCACACACAAAGGGTCTGGGGTTCAACTCCTGCTCAAGGGTTGCAGGCTCACTTCCACCCCTAGACAGGATGTGTGCAGGAGGCAACCAGTCGATGAGTCTCTCCCATCGATGTTTCTCTCTCCTCCCTCCCACTGTTTTTGAAAAGCAATGGAAAAAAATATCCTCGGGTGAGGATTAACAACAATAAAAAAGACTTTAAAATTTGAAGAAAAACTAATTTACATACCCATGAAAAGGTGCTCAAGATCCTGTCATCAGGGAAGTGCAAATCAAAATGACAATGAATTCCACTTTACACTCACTAGAAAGAAAACGGTGGACAATAACAAGTGTTGACAAGGACATGAAGAATCCCAATTTCTGGTGGGACATATGAGCTATAAATACCAAGGCTGTCTCAACTGTGTTTTGAAAAACAGATTGGCAGTTTCTCAAAAGCTTAACCCTAGAGTTACCATATGACCCAGCAATTCCCCTTCTAGGTATCTGAGGGAATTGAAAACATGTCCATGCAAAAACAAAAAACAAACCCCCACAAAAGTTCATAATAGCCAAAAGGTAGAAACAACTCAAATGCCCATCTCTGAATGAATGGTTGAATACAATGTGGTATAACCATGATGGACTATTATCAGCCATGAAAGGAAAGAAGTACTCACACACGCTACAACATGGATGACCCCTGAAACATGATGATGGAAGCCAGACACAAAAGACTTCTCATGTTGTATGACTCCATTTACATGAACTATCAAGAATAAGCAAATCTCTAGAAACAGAAAGTAGATTAACGGTTGATAAGGGCTGGGGGAGATGGGTAGAGAAAATGGGTAGTGACTGCTGATGGGTATGGAGTTTCTTTTTGGGGTGATAAGAATGACCATGAGTTCGATATTGGTGATAGTTGTCCATCCTGGTGAATATACTAACCACTGAATTACACTCTTAAAGAGGTGAATTTTATGGTATGTGAATTATATCTCCATTTTAAACAGTGGTGCACCTTATTTTATGTATCTGTTAATAAACTATTTTGGGCCCGGTCTCCGTGGCTCAGAGGTTGAGCGTCGGCCTAGGAACCAGGAGGTCACGGTTCGATTCCCAGTCGGGGCATGTGCCTGGGTTGCAGGCTCGATCCCCAGTAGGGGGCGTGCAGGAGGCAGCCGATCCATGATTCTCTCTCATCATGGATGTTTCTCTCTTCCTCTCCCTTCCTCTCTGAAGTCAATAAAAACGTAAACTTTTAAAAAATAAATTATTTGGGGGTAGACCAGCAACCCTTGCAGAAGCTATGAATGAAACTGCTCTCACTGACTGGGAAATAGATGGAAACTCAGTGTGAACAGCTCACCGGGTTTCAGAGTTTGTCCTCGCTGGTTAACACCAGCATCAGGCCAATATGCAGTAATTTAAAGATCCCAGATGTGAGGCTTCCAACTTCACCCATTGAATGAAGTCCCCAAGGACCAAGGCCCCCTGACAGCAAAACATTGTGAAATGAATGAATTTGCAAATATAATCAAGTGGAAAATTCTGTAAGAAACTAAAAGGTCATGTTGGCTTTGTTCCTAGTGCGTAGCGCTTTTTGGTACCACTCTTTCCCTAGAACAAAAATGTAAAGGGAGGTTATTATTTACTAAAGGTCCTATCTTTTCAGCATGATTATTAAATATTTGTGTTATTTTTATCAGGTATTGCAAACATACCTCAATTCAAAGCTTTTCATAATTTTTCTGAAACTGATCAAAGTAACTATTACAATATATTGGCCAAACAATTACACCCTCTTTGTAGGTGTGCAGTCCAATTTGGTCAGTAGATCAAAAAACGACAGCTAGATTTTAAATAAAATGCAGGGACTTAAGAATTGTATAGTAGTTATATCTTGCTCTCTTCAGGTATTATGTTCTTTATTTTCAGTTCTTTGGGCTAGTAAAAAAAAATTTTAAGAGAAAAATATAAAAACTAGTTGTAATATTATTAGTATGACCTTCTATTCAAAATAATCCAGCTAAAACATTATTATTTTTTTATTGCTTTCAGAGAAGAAGGGAGAGAGAGATAGAAACATCAAAGATGAGAGAGAATCATTGATTGGCTGCCTCCTGCATGCCCCCTACTGGATATTGAGCCCACAACTAGGCATGTGCCCTGATCAGGAATCGAACCCATGACCCTTTGGTGCTAACCACTGAGCCCCAGCCAGGGCAGTATGGCATATATTTTTAAATCAACAACAAAAAAATGAGCTGGGATTTGATCAATTAAGTTTCTGTTTAATATTAAATTCACAACATTGATTTACAATCAGATTCACAGCCAAAATATTTATAGTTAACATAGTCGTCTGGGGTCCCTACAAAAATAAGATATGGGAGCGAGCTTTGAAACAAGAACGTGTTCGTGCCAAGAAGAAAATGGCAAGGACGGGGGGTGGGGAGCCAAGGAGAGGCCCGAGTCAGCAGCTCAAGAGCAAGCCGCACCCTTTGGGGGAGTTTTCGTGGCTCACATCCCAGTGGCCAGCCAACTCTGCAGACTGAAGCAGTGTGGAGAGTAAGGAGGTTAGAGCAAGAAGAAAAGAAGAGGGGGTGGACGATGAAAAACACCCCCTTGCTGAAACAAAAACGAACCTACTTTTACCAGGACCTGTGCCCGCTTTAGCAATGTGCACCCCGCTCAGAATGTGAGGAAGGAAATGCGTGACCTTGATAGTAGTGTCAGTGTGCTCTGCCTCTAGCCACCCACAGTCCTCCTAGGTAATCCCAGTGCCCTGCTTGTGCTGGTCCCAGGCGCCCTCCTCCAGGCAGGCAGCCGAGATTGCTTATAGGCGAGAGGGTGGGAGCCCTGGAGAGTGATGTCTTGATGACTATGGCAGCTGCGGTTCTTCTGAAGAAGAATTTAAGTGCAGGATTTAGGAAACCTAGACTGATCGTAAGCACGTCTCTGTTTACCCAGTAGGAGGCTACGCTGGGTACCTGAGGATGAAGGGAGGCCCTCAGTGAGTAAGTTTCAGAAGAAATGGGTGCATGAGCCTCTACCCAAGGCCCCCCGGATCTGCTGCGTTTGGCAGAGGACACGCCGTGGGGAAAGACGGCAGCTCGCTCTAAAGGCAAACACGGTAAGGAGAGATTAAGGGGCAGAATCATCTGATACCACGCGTATCAAAAAAGAAAGCAAGAAATGACTTGATTTTTTGCCCGTGCCTGTGGCCACCCCGAGGAGCTGCCTTCGCACGCCACCTTCCTTTGGGACAGTCCTCCCCAGTCCGTATCTTTGCGTGGATCTCACTCAGGTATCTGAGTTGGCAAACTCATCTGGGGGGGGGGGGATGGGGAAATTCCTTAAATAGAATTCACCCCCCCCTGCCCCGCCTCGCCCGCGGGTTTCTCACAGGTTCCTTCCCAGCCCCTTTGCCAAAGTGTAAATTGGAGCAGACGTGGCTCATTTCTACTTCAGATGGTTAACTCTGGTTTTTTTAAAAAATATATTTTATTGACTTTTTACAGAGAGGAAGGGAGAGGGATAGATTTAGAAACATTGATGAGAGAGAAACATCAGTCAGCTGCCTCCTGCACACCCCCAACTAGGGATGTGCTCGCAACCAAGGTACATGCCCTTGACTGGAATCGAACCAGGGACTCTTCAGTCCCCAGGTCGACGCTCTATCCGCTAAGCCAAACCGGTTAGGGCAACTCTGGTTTTTTATTTTTATTTTATTAGATGATGTCCATGATTTGTATATAAACATGTTAGCGGTCTTACCCAGGAGTTGTAGTTGCTATACTATTCAAACAACATTTCCCACATTATTACAATCATCTTGGTTCTGCATGTGTATAAAGAACTGTCCAGAAAAATCTGAAGGTTTCATTTGGCTCATGTTTTCCACTGGAGTCTGAAGGAGCCGGTCTAACTAAGAGCCTTCATTTGAAAACATGCCATCTCGTACTTGGTCACCATGAGGTGCTGACACACCACCCGTCCTCTTCCCAGCTTTAGTTCAAAGGTTACTATCTTTTTCTGTTTAACCCTCACCCAAAAGAGTGATAATATCCTCCCCCCGCCATAGATTTTTAGAGAGAGTGGAAGGGAGGAGGGAGAGGGGGAGAGAGAGAGAGAGAGAGAGAGAGAGAAATATCAATCTGAGAGAGACACATCGATTGGTTGCCTCCCACACGCGTCCCAGGGCAGGTCTCGAACCTGCAACCCAGGTACGTGCCCTTGACCAGAATCAAACCCAGGACCCTCCCATACTCAGGCTGACACTCTAACTACTGAGCAACACTGACCAAGGGCAGCTGCCATCTCTTTTAACACGCAGCTTCCTCATAACAAAACTTTTTCATGTGATTTTGCTATTTGAAGTGACATACAAGCCGCTGACCTCAAAGTGATAATCCGGGTTCCTCTCAATAAAAGAAAAAATTCCAAATGAAACGGCAATCCAGGAGGGGAGCTCACCCAGACCAGCAAAACCAGAGGGAGTTGGAAACGACATTCAGTGCTGCCGAGTGTGCAAAGTGTCATTAAAATTGTCCTCCCAGCCCTAGCCAGTGTTGCTCAGTGGTTAGAGATTCAGCCTGGGACTGAAGGGTCCTGGGTTCGATTCTGGTCAAGGGCACATGCCCAGGTTGCAGGTTCCAACCCCAGTAGGAGGCCTGCAGGAGGCAGCCGATCCATGATTCTCTCTCATCATTGATGTTTTTCTCTCTCTCTCCCTCTCCCTTCCTCTCTGAAATAAATAAAAATTTTTAAAAAGCTCATTAAAAAAAACCAAAAAACTATCCTCCCAAACCTACCCCATCTTGTCCTTAGAAAGAAAGAACTCAGGGTGTAAGTAACGAATGAATAGAATAAATACACATAAATACGATAGTTAACGATGTGTGTAAAAGCAACGGGTCATACTTTACTTTTTTTAATATTTTTATTGAATTCAGAAAGGAAGAGAGAGGGAGAGAGAGATAGAAACATCAATGATGAGAATCATTGATTGGCTGCCTCTTGCACGCCCCCTACTGGGGATCCAACCCACAACCCGGGCATGTGCCCTCAACTGGAATTCAACCAGGGACCCTTCAGTCCGCAGGCCGATGCTCTATCCACTGAGCCAAACCGGCTAGGGCAACGGGTCATACTTTTAGACTTGGGGAGTCCATTCTTTAGCTGCCTTGTTTTTTGGTTGCAGTTTTTTTTTAAATAAATTTTTTTTTTACTTCAGAGAGGCAGGGAGAGGGAGAGAGAGAAACATCAATGATGAGAGAGAATCATTGATTGGCGCACACCCCCACTGGGGATTGAGCCCGCAACCCCGGGCATGTGCCCTGACCGGGAACCGAACTGTGACCTCCTAGTTCATAGGCTGATGCTCAACCACTGAGCCACACCAGCCAGGCTCTTTTGTTCCATTTTGCCCCGTGTAGCAGTTTAAGAATCTGCAGACATGTATCCGTTACATGGAATCGCCACTTCAATTCTAAAAATACTCTCCTGCTACTAAACTCAATTAAAAAGAAGTGCAGTTGGAAAGCTTAATTAAGCTTTCTAGGTTGTTAAAACTCTGCTTCCAGAAAAAGAAAAAAGAAAAAAAAAACTACGCTATTCTCAGAGTCCCACAGTCCGATTGCGAGAAACAGCCAACGTATTATCCGTCAGGAAAGGTTGGTTTCTCTCCCTTGCTTAGGACGAGGCCATCGGATGGGGTTTCCATTGAGCCAACCCAAGGCTGCTGGGCTGCTGGTGAGAACGTTCTGGCAGCGACATCAGCCCCACGAGAGGGGAGTTGAAGGGAGGCCAGATTCCCTCAGGAAATTTGGGGCGAGTTGAAACCTCCCTTCCCCACCTCGCTTTGATGATGGCGACTGATAATGTCTTCATTTTTCAGCACCTGGTGCTAACAGCGCAGGCCGCAGGCTTCACAGCGCCCCAACAGCAACAGAGCATGTACTGAAGCGTCACCCGCAGACGGGCCGCGTGCCCCAGAGCCCACGGAGGGAGCAGGCGGCAGCCGGGTGAGGAGACACTTGACCTCCTTTTCCAGACATCAGAAATGGGGGAACCCACCCAGGGAGAGGCCACGCAAGACAGGGAGGAAGCGTGGAGTTTGGGGTTCTGGGCAGAGACCCCGAGGCAGGGCCTGGGTGGCTTTGAGTCCATTGTAATGTCACACCCCCGGGGTGAAATGAGTTTTATTGCATGGAAGTTACACTTCAGTTCAGAAAACAAGCAAAGGGGAAAAATGCAGCAGCCCTCCTGTCTGTCCCGCCCCTGGCCCTGACCTCCTACCCCTGCCCTCATCACCAGCACAGTGGCCTCGAGCATGGGTCACACCTGACTCTTCCCTCTGGCTACCTTCCCAAGTCCACACGTGACCGCACAATCAGTGGGTCTGGCTGCCTGTCACTCCCTGAGCCCGTTCAGCAGAGACAGGGTGGAATCCTACGTGAGCGTTGATTCCGATCCTGCCGGCAGTGTGGGGGAGCTGCAGGGCACCCACAAAAATCCACTCTGTCCCCACCATAAGCCAGCTGCTGATAGTGGGTAGAAGGACAAAGATTGCATGGGAAGTCGGCCAAAGGGTGATGCCAAATGGGCAGTTTACAGGTGAGCGGGCTGGAGATTTGCAAAGGCCTGTGGGTGTGCAAAGGCTGGGGGTCTGCAAAGGCCTGTGGGTATGCAAAGGCTGGGGGTCTCCAATGGGCTGGCGGCTCTGGTTTCTGCAACAAGGTTGTCAATCTTTCCACCATCATAGGCAGCCCCCTGATGGGGAGGAGGGGCCCCATTTCCAGGGGAGCTCCCAGGCCCCACGTGCAGCTCCCAGCCAGGTGAGAAGGTGCCTTCTTTCATCAGAACAGCACAGCCACGGGTCACAGAGCGGGATTCATATTCCTTACAGTGACAGCTGGTCTCCAGCATTGTATTTCTGCCCCATCATTGCGAGGGCTGTCACATGGGTCTAAGGCACGCACATTAGCGGGTGGGGGCAAGGGGCTCCCCACCACAGTGCCCCCCACCCTCCAGGCCTTCAGGACATGTTACCACTCTCCCTCTGCAGACGGCTTGCCTGCTGTGACCTATCCCAATGCTCAGCCATTCGTGCCCCAGCCTGTGCTGGCTCTTTGTTTCTCTGAATGTCTTTTCCTTCTGATCCTCTTATTTTCTGACATTCACACTTACTCATTCCGTCAGTTGTCAGCACCTGATTGCCTCCCTGTGGCTCCAGCGTTCGGGAGCAGGGCCAGCTGCGGGCCCGGGGATCATCCCGGGTCGCTGGGACATTGAGCCAGCTGGGACCTAGGCCCCCTTCTTCCGATGAGAGGGGCCGTGCCCAGTCCCCAGGCTCGGCCTCCCGGGGGACAGGTGGTTTCTTTGCCACTTTCTGGGCCCAGGGCTCCAGTAGCCAGGCCGCTGGAGTTGCCAGCCAACTAACTCCTACAAGCAGCTGACATCACCAACCAGACTTCCTGGCACCACGCGGCCTGGGCATTCCCCCGGTGCCGGGGCTGCCTTCTCCTGTGGGCCCTAGAGAAAGGGAGAATAGCAGAGGCCCGAGCCTTCCCTGGAACATCCATCCGCCTGCCAGGCCTGCCCCGCCCACTCTCCATGGGATGCAGGAGGCTGGGGGCCAGCCACCCCCTCTAGGTGACCCTGTGCGGTCTGTGGGACAGTGGGAAGCCCCGCCTGGGCCCTGGGAGGCCACCCTCGGTTACTCTTTGCTCTCTAGACCTTTGCCTTTGACCTCCTCACTCCCCTCTCCTCAGGGCAGGCGTCCCTGCTCATCAGCGCTGGTCCGCAGCAAGCTCTCCCCGCCCAGGCCTTTAGGAAGTCCTGTTCGTAGTTCCCATGAGAGAGATCACGGCCTTCTTCGTGGGTAAGTGAGCTGTCTTCCCAGGCATCCATGGTGAGTGCCTCTCTGAGCCGAGTTCAGGTCCTGTTGTTCCAGAAACATTACTGAGTATCTGTGATATTTAAGATACTATTCTAGCCCTGGCCGTTGTAGCTAACTGGTTAGAGTGTCAGTCCTTGTACCAAAAGGTTATGGGTTCGATTCCTGGTCAAGGGCACGTACCTGGGTTGCAGGTTCGATCCCCGGCCCCAGTTGGGGTGCATGCAGGAGGTAACCAATTGATGTGTCTCTCTCACATCGATGTTTCTCTCTCTCTCTGTCTCTCCCCCTCCCTTCCACTCTCTCTAAGAATCAATGGGAAAAATATCCTCGGGTGAGGATTAACAACAACAACAAAAAGATATTATTCTAGACTCTGCGGACGTACATACATAGAGAACGTGGCCGTGGCCCATGCCTTTGAGAAGTTTATAATATGTTCATTTATTGTTCTGGGAGTAAAAAGATATTAGAAGAAAAGGGAAACGGAGAGAGAGAAAAGTGACCGTATTGATCATCAAACAAGGATAAGCATCACCCTATTCAGCTTGTTCTAGGAAGGGGTGTGGTGACATGGTGACGAGTCCAGGAGGCTGGGCGCTGGCCACAGCAGTCCTCCCCGGGACCTGCCCCCGGCTCCGCAAAGACAACGCCCCACCCTTTCGGGTCCGCTGAGGTCCCGTGTGAAGGTCCCCTCAGATCTTCCTCTGCTGCTGGATTGGAGAAAGCGGTTCACTGGGGGAGGAAGGGGTGGGTCCATGAGAGTCTGTGGTCTTCACTTCCTACTTTCTAAAACGGGCCGCTTCTGGCCATGAGAAAAGGAAGACCCAATCGCCACTTCTCCGGGGTCCCTTATAGTCCCACCATAGTGGGGAGAAGAAAAAGGTTCTTCCAGGAAACAGCCTTGGGAAAGAGGAAACCTCGTGAGGAGACCACACTCCTAAGCAGACAAGTCTCCTCTAACGTGGATGGATGGATGGATGGATCGATGGATGGATGGATGGATGGATGGATGGATGGATGGATGGATGGATGGATGGATGGATGGATGGATGGATGGATGGATGGATGGATGATGGATGGATGAAAGAATGGATGGATGGATGGTTGGGTGGATGAGTGAATGAATGAATGAGCAGATAGATGGATGGATGAGTGAGTGAATGAATGGGTGAGTGAATGGATGAATGAGCGGATGGATGGATGGATGAGTGAGTGAATGAATGGGTGAGTGAATGAATGGGTGAGTGAATGAATGCGTGAGTGGGTGAATGAATGAATGGGGCAGTAACTGAAGTGCTGCCTGCCATGCAGTGCAGGGGCTTGGGCTTGTGGCTCTCCACCCTCTCCCAGTGCACACTGTCACTTCCTCGTGGAGGAAACGGATGGCCCAGGGCCAGGAGGAGCGGGGAGGTTCCCAGGAGCCTCCTTCTCGGTTCTCCTTTGGCAAACCGCCATTTCCCACTGAGGGGCCTTGGGCAGGCTGTGGCTGGAGTAAGTGGTCATCGCATGGTCAGGGGGCAAAGGGCACCTGTGCTCATTACTGGGAAGTGAGAAAGCATAGCTCCGATGTCAGAAGGAGGGCCGTTACCGTCCGGTGCTTTCCAGGGAGGTCTCAGTTCAGCGCCCCTGGGAACCTGAGCCTGCAGGGGGCGCCGAAGCGGAGGGGACCGAGGGCATCGGGGTTCTGCAGTTTGCCAGGGTTCAGTACAGTCACAGGCGGCGTCTCAGCTGTCATCCGCCAGGGGAGGGACGTTTGTCTTGCTACCAGCTATAGGAAATAATCTATGTAATCCTGGCCGCCTGACACTGTAAGAGCACTGGTGTGTGGCTTGTCACATCAGAGACAGTAGGTCTGGAATGAAGGGTGCTATGGACTCCATGTTTGTGCCCCGCCACCGCCCCCCCCCCAAACTCATATGTTAAAACCTAATCCCCAGTGTGATGCTATTTGGAGGTGGGGACTTTGGAAGGTGATTAAGAGCCCTCGTGTGCCGAAACCAGTTTGGCTCAGTGGATAGAGCGACGACCTGCGGACTGAAAGGTCCCAAGTTCGATTCCGGTCAAGGGCATGTATCTGGGTTGCGGGCACATCCCCAGTAGGAGATGTGCAGGAGGGAGCTGATCGATGTTTCTCTCTCATCGATGTTTCTAACTCTCTATCTCTCTCCCTTCCTCTCTGTAAAAAATCAATAAAATATATTAAAAAAAAAAAAAGAGAGAGCCCTCGTGAGTGGAATCGGGGCCCTCATGACCGGGTTTAGGACCCAGAAACGCCTCACCCCTTTGCCAAGTGAGGACAGTTTCTGCCTCCAGCTAGCTAGACCCTGAGCCCTGCAGAGCAGCCTGTACCTGCGGCCTGCCCGCACTCTAATCTCATCTCACGATCCTCTCACAGGCTCTCAGGGCAGCCTGGTGACCCACAGGATGAATGTACTATCTCACTCAAGGTCACACAGCTGCAAGGTCACCCACGGCCATCACCTCCACTGCACGCGTTCCCTGCACGGAGGAGGAGGTGGCGACGTAGGACTCCAGGGTTGAGTGGCTCCCACATTTCCAAGCATTTTTCAATCTGGGAGGACAGGGAGCTGGAAACTATTTAAAGGGGGAGCCGAGGCCTGAAAGTCTTGGCTGGGATGGAGGAAGGGAGAGAAATGTATCCTGTGCCATCGGGACCCTCCCCGAGGGGGAGGCAAGGGCGTGTCCAGGACAGCGCAGCCTGTGCACCCTGCACACCAGCCTGAATGGCTGCTCCCGCCCTGGCCCCCAGCTCAGCCGTCCAAGGACACATGCGAGCTGCCAGGCCAAAGCCAGGAGCCCGCGGCACCGTGGGCAGGACACCGCAGGACACCCAGCTCGTTGGAGAAGGCCCCGGAACACTCTTCCGCTCAAATCCCGCTCCTCCAATTAGCCTGTTTACTCATGTAATACGGCTTGGTTCTGTTGACACACAGTGAAACCGCAGCCCGTGGTTCCCGTCCCCAGAAAGGTCGTGAGAGGATCGGCTGTTTCTGAGCTTTTCCCTGAGGGTGACTTTGCTGCCTGCCCATGGCTTTTGTCACCGCCTGGCCTTTGCTCGCAGCCGGTGGAGGCTGATGGGAACCTCAGCCCGGGGATACTCGAGTGGAGGAAGAAGTTCTCGTGCCTTCCATCGCAAGCACCCAGGCTGTCTTCACGGTCACCCGGTCCTCTCTCTTGGCCGAGGGCCCCGGATGAGCCCCCAGGAGCGATGCTCTCTGGACAGTGTCTGGCGTGGATGTGTGGCCAGAGCTGTCATAACCATCGGCTACACTCCCGGGGGGAGGGGGCCACTCGGAGGAGCCACAGGGGCCAGAGCAGGAGCCGCGGGCAAACCCACCTGCAGCCCCTCACCGGGACTCCCGTGGCACCAGCCTAGACCACTCTCAGCGGGACTTCCGGTTACTGAGCCCACAGCATCCTGAACACGGCAGTTCCACGCACGTCTGCGCCCCCTTCGGCAGGTGGAAGGTCGTCCGTGTGCATTTCGGGGGCTTCCCTCGTTCTTGTCGGACTCTGAATTGGACCCTGGTGGTCTGAGCATCACCACCACCACCACCATCACCATCACCACCACCACCATCACCACCACCACCACCATCCTGCCGAGGGTGCCATTCCTCTCTCTGTCTTCCTGTGGGCATCCCCAGAGCAGACCCTACGACGAGGGTTTGGTTGTGGGTAATCTGTTTGTGAGGTGACTCCGGGAAGCACAGGGCAGGGGTGGAGAAGGAAGATGGGGAGGGAGGAAGGCCATGAATAGGGCTGACATGGGGTTCCCGCTGCCAGCGATGGGCTCAAGCGGCTGGGCCCTGGAGAGATGAGGGAGCCAGGCTTCCAGTGAGGATGTACCCCCAGGCTCCCATGCCTGGGGGCTGCGAGGCCCCTGGGGGCACAAACTCCCCTGTTATTTCTGGGCTGTGCCCGCAGGGGCGGGAGCAACTTCCCCAGGTGGCAGGAGAGGTGGATGGGCATCGCAGCCTGCTCTCCACACGATCATGGAAGCCTCAGTTTCCTGACCTGTAAAATGGGGCCAGTGGTACTCACACGGCAGAGCTCATGCAAAGAGTAACAGCAAATGCACTTCCTGGCAGAAGAAGGGCTCTGCTAGTGCTGGCTTTATAAGTGTGGCTCCTTAAGCGAGGAACGTCATCTCGCCCAGTGCGGCGACTGGGGTCTGCCTTCCCTCCTGCCACCTGGGTTCCACTTCCCCTTCCTGCATCTGCATCTGCAGGCAGCCCAGGGCTCGGGGCAAGTCTGACTTGAACACACTGAATGGCTGCTGGCCGAGGGCCCGGGGCAGTGGTGGGGCCACGCCAGTCAGCCAGGCCAGGCTGGGTGGCGTCCGCTCC